GCTTGATTATATACCTTTTTTTATCACACAAGAGACAAAAATCATTCTTACTTGCAGAAGACTAAACCCACTTGTGGACCGAATATCTCTATACATTTTGGATATAAAAAATTGTTTTATTATTATTATTTTTTAAAAGGAATACTAAGGTAATCATTTTGATCAGAATAAAAGCAAAATAAGAAAGTATCATGTGGAAATTGTTACCTTGTAAGAGGTGTACACTGAAATATCTCGTAAGAGGTGTACACTGAAATATCTCGTAAGAGGTGTACACTAAGGTAATCACTCTAAACGAGGCATTGACATCACGAAGTAATGTCCAAGGGGGAGTGTTGAAATCTAGAAGATAAGATGAATGTGAACATTACTTGAATATGGACAATTAATTAGGTGACTCTTCATTAGCCCATGTCCTTTAGTCTTCTTATTATCCATCTATATAATGTATGTCATGGACTACAAAATGTATGGTGAAATGAAGATGAATAAAATTAGATGATCACATTCTCTCTATCTCTTCTCTTCTCTATTTATTTAATCTTACATTTCATGTTCGATTCTTACTTATGATATGTGATGTATGTAGATATAATAACAAGATTACAACAGTTAAGTCTATAATCCAAAATAGAGATAAATAAAAAATAAACGATAAATCAAAACAATTGTGTGTGTATGAATTTTGAGCTCTAAATATAAACATACAAAGTATAAAATTAAAATACTATTACCCAAGGCAAATAATCTTCAATATAGCTCATCTTGGTTGTGGATGAAGCGATGTTGTGATCTTGACTTGAATTGCAAAGCTTCATTCCGATTTTCTCTAACCTCCAAAGGATGTCATCGTTAAGCTTAATTCCAACCAACCGCCAACACGGATTTTTGTGTATGATACTTAACAATAAAATGCAAACACTCGACAAACGATGTTAGGAATTATTTGTTAATCATCAAAATTAGATTATATAATAAGCTCATAAAAATGAGACCTAACAATTTGCTTGCCATATTTCTTTTGCGTGTATATGTCAAGTGCGCAACATATTATGCAATTAAAGAGGCTACTCATTAAGACAGGGAATACGCAAGACACATTATTTTTATTATTCGTATGCTTTGAACTTGCTTAGTTTAGTAGCTTACAAAAACATGTTATTTTGTGTAGAATTGGGAACGATGGCGACAAAGTTCGAAAGAATTGAAGCAGGGGTCAGTTTTTAACCTTTGGCCGGTCGAACGCGGCAACATGTGCGGTCGACTGGAAACGTGCATGAGTACAGGATATATTCTGATTTTCTATCCGGTCGACCACGAAGATTTTGGCGGTCGACCGCATAATTTTTTGTGTTTTGTCTGGTCGACCGCGAAGACTTCGGCGGTCGACCGCCTGTTGGTTTTGGACCTGGGTTTCGTTTCATGTTCTGATTTGGTTTGTGTTTTGATATATATTGAAACACGTTTTTAGGGTTTTTAAGGCAAAAAGAAGAGACTTTTGAGCTGTGTATTTGTGAGATTTGGTGAGAGATTTGAGAGCTTTTTTTGAGAGATTAATTTGTGAGTTTTGAATGAATTTGTAATCTCTATTTGTACTCTCTCTAATAGTAAAATCCGTCCCCTCCTTGCCCCGTGGACGTAGGCAACTTGTCGAATCATATAAAATTTATGTCTTGTATTGTTAGGTTCTTGTTTGACCTATTGATTGTGATTTTATCTCAGTTTGGTTGTGTTCGTTTTGGCTGCGAACAACATTTTGACTGTCAAACAACTGCATGAACTGTTTTATATATTCAGTAAGAAGACGATTATATTGAGTTAGGGTCCGTTCGTTTCGCAAAAAAAAAACTTGGAAATTAAAGAATAGGAAACCTATTTCCTATAATAATTGTTTTGAGGTTGTTTGGTTGGGTTAAAAAAGAAGGAAATTATAGAATAGGAGATGAGATGAGATGAGTTGTCACCTTATTATTGGATGATGTGAGTGATTTTAAAAAAAAACTTGTTTTGAGGTTGTTTGGTTGGTTAAAAAAATAAGGAAATGAATTGGAGGTATATTATTGGATGATGTTTTGAGGTTGTTTGTGTTTGGTTCATTTTGAAAAATAAGAAAATAGATGAGATGAGATGAGTTGGAGGTATATTATTGGATGATGTGACACATACTTAAGGAAATCAATTTCTTGTTTTTTTTGAGGAAATGGATGGAAAGGAAGGTTTAATGAGATGAGATGAGTTGTCACAATATTATTGGATGATGTGTGTGATTTTTAAAAATGGGATAAGATGAGATGTGATGAGTTGGATGATGTGACACATTTCTTGTGTTTGGTTTATTTTTAAAGGTAAGAAAGGAGATGAAATGAGATGAGTTGGAGGATAAAAATAATATTTTATTGGATGTTGTGAGTGAGTTTTAGGGATGAAAATGGATAAAAATATTATTTTATTAATTTCCTTGTACCGATTTTCTTTTTTTGGTTTTTAGGAAACCAACCAAACAGCCCCTTAGTCGAGCTCAGAAGTGAGAGTGTGTTGGACCCACGACTCGAGTACCTAGGCCGAGCATAATTCAGATTGAAGATCAAAACAAATCTAAGATGTGATAAGGCTAAGATTTTGACTAGACGCAGCTTAGTCAAAATTGAGTTTGCACTATATGATTGTTTTCTTAGACTTTGTTTGGATATCATAATATTTTTCTTATTATGCTTTCGTAAAAAACATCATGATATTGTATTTTTCTCTTAAAATGTTTTCAAAACACCATATTATGTATTTTTGATCAACACTAGTTTGACACATTATAACATTAGTATTAAACATATTATTAATATATTATATATTAATTATAAAAATATATATTGTAAATAAAATATTATAATATTTAGTTTATATTATTATAGTATTATAAGTATTAAATATAATGCAATATAATATTGTATAATGTATTATAATATTATATTATACTTTAATGAGTTATATTATATTATAATATTATTATATTATAATTATTATATATTATTATTAAATAATTATATATCTAATTATTTTGGTATATCAATTTGTTATTGTTGTATATTATATTATGAATATATTATTTTTACATTAACATTTATTAGTAATAAATTATTTTACTTTATAGTAAATTATATTATTTATTACATAATATATTAATATTTTATATATTATATTATATTTACTATACAATATGTTATTATAATATTATTATTATATTCTTATGTTATTATTAAATATGTTACTACTATATAATATTTTATAATTATTAATTTATTACAATTTATTTATTAAAAACTTAATAATATTATAGCAATTATACTATTGCATAGTATATTATTATATCATTATTATATTATAATTTATTATCAATAACATTTTTATTAATTTTTATTAATTTATTTATATTTTATTATTATTTATTTATGATATAATACAATATTAACATATTAAATATTGGTATTTAATACGTTATTATATTATTATATAAGATATTATAGTGATTATATTTTTATATTTTTTAATAAATATTACTAATATATTAAATTAACTATAATATAGTATAGTATAGTATAATATAATAAGCTTGTTGATAATAACTCTATATTAATTATATTTAATATATTATGTTAGATATTATATTAATATCTTCTCAAACTCAAAATCATAACACCATACTTAAAACACCTAAAAGGTGTTTTGAAATAAATGTTGTGTTTTTGGTTTGAGGATGATTTAGCTCAAAAACACCATAGTTTTCAAATGCATGGTGTTTTATTTTTGACAAAAACACCATGGAAACAAGTAAAACACCATGGTATCCAAACAGAGCCTTATAATTTCAAACATTTGCTTACCATATTTTTTTTCGATTGATGACGTTCTTCTCAGCCATCAGATTTCCAATAGATGGGATGCACATAAAGAATTGCTTGCTAGCGAGTAATAAACAAGTCTTCTTTAGACATTTTATGCGTTGAAAGAGAGAACTATTTTAGAAGCTAATTACTCTCCTACTTTACTCTCAATTGTTCTTATCTGAGGTGCGAGTTCCATCAAATGTCTTGAATAACATTTAGATCATTTCCCAAGCATCTTCCATTATTGATGGTGTGAAGATCTACTTTAAAAAATATCAACTTCTCAACAAAATAATCCTGAAGAAATATGTGCACTATTTATCTTTTTTTGCATCTTATGCTGCATATCCAATATATTTAGAACAACAAGGAGAATTCATAAAAGGTCATTTGGATTGTTGGGGTTCTTGAATAATTTTGAGCTTCATTATAAGAATATCACAATCTTAACTTAGAATTGTTTGATTGCAATTTTCTTGTGCTTTTTCATTTTTAGCCCTTGAAAATAGAAAAAAATCTCAAGATAATTGCATATTGCAAATTAAGGAATTCACAGGACTAACGTTATAAAAGAAAGTCTAGCTACTTAGGGTAAATTACACTAAACTTCATGACCTTTTAGCATTTTGCAGTATCCCTATTAACTTTCAAAATAATAGCAAGTACTCAATAACTTTTTGGAATTGCGAAAAACCATATAGCATTTTCACATTTTGCAGAAACCCCCACATATTAGAACAGAAAAAAAGAAAGAAAAAACAGCATATAAAGGCATTTTAAAAGTTTCTGGGTGGTTGATGAGTGTACTTCACCCAAAATATATTTGTTTTTACCAAAATTATTGGGGTTTAGTTTGATTTTGAAAGTTATTGGAGAGTTTTATACAGACCCTGAATGTTCTTGGGCGTTTAGTGTAATTTACCCTTAAAATTAACACGGACTGATAAAAAGACAGCACCCGAACGGTGCGATCGAAGGTCTTCTTCCCCATTCAAACCGACGCGGGTGCGGGGTGGGGGGGATGGAGGTCCGATCACAATGCCGCCGGGGAAATCATACTCTCCGGCGAGAACGCCATCGTCCACGGCTCCTCTGCCGTCGCCGCATCCGTCGACCTCTACACTCACGTCTCCTTTAAGCTCAGCAACGGCGAGGGATCACTGCAGCTGGAGCTCAAAGACATGGGCCTGTCCTTCTCCTGGGAAACCCTAAAACTGCGGCAGGCGGTCTGGCACGAGCATGATCTCGGCGCCCGTCGCCGCCGCTCGCCGCCGCAGGCCTTGCTCGCCGCAGTGGATGAAGGTGATCGAAGCCCTAGTTGAGGAGCAGAGTGTTCCAGAGGCTAGGGTTGCTTTGGCTTCTGGAATCTCTGCGTTTCTCTATCTTTTCATCTCGATTCACGGGTAATCATCTCTTCTTGATGAATTTAGAAAGTTGTAACTGTAACGTAGGCACAAATTTGTGGTAATGTCGTGATGCAATTTAGTGGTTAATGCTTATTATCGAAGAGAACTTCAACTATTTTGTGGTTTGACCTTGTTTATGTCTAAAAGTTAGTTTGCGGTTAGGGTAGTGTTATGAGAAGATTACGAGCAGATCCCTGCACAAGTAACTGCACAAGTAATAGACGTTAGCAGCTCCGGAGGAGGTTTCCCCCATGCGTGCCTTATGTCGTTCAAGTCAGCGACTAAAAAATTGACTAAAAAAGCGACTAAGAAAGCAGTATCCAGAGAAATACAATATTCATCTGAGGGTTGAGATAGCCTAGACCATAGAATGGTGGGGGTAGCATCTTATTTATAAGAGAGTGTAGGGACAAATTGGTAACTCGACTCAATTGGCAAAGTTAGACATTTTACTTCCGCTTTACACATTTTGTCAGTTAGTTGGGCAGACATGAGGGGCCGCTCTTACTGCATTTAATGTGATAATGATGAGGCGAAGTTATGGGCAGCATCTGGGGAGTCATTATGATGTATGGCTATGCATTTAATGCAATGACGACTAGGTGGCAGAGTTAAGAGCACTACTGATGAGTTATCATCATGCTCGGCCATGCATTTAATGCTGATGATATAATCGGACGTTCTCTCTCTTGCGTAGGGGCTAATATTCTTTGGCAGAATCTGATTCGAAGACACTTTTTTAACTCAGACTCTCTTATAGTGGAATCTGACTTGAAGATGTCTTTTGACTCAGACTAGGACTATTGGAGAGGTCGACCTAGTTGGTCAGGCTATGTTTGTTTTTGTGTTGGGTCTTTTGGTTGTATGATCCGACCTATCCAACTGACACATGGCCAAATCTTAGGAGTTTACCAAACTCGCGATTTTGAGGGCGTAACATTGACCCCTTTCACTGGGCCTGGGGAAGCCGAACCATTTCACCTTTGCTACCCATATGGATTCAGATCATCATGGGTAGTGCGCTATCGTCAGTAAAGATTATGCCTCTGGGATTTTGGGATAGGGCGCCTCAATTGACGAGGATTGACAGTAGATTCTAGGGATCCGAGCTTATCCGTGCGGATTTAGCCATGTTTCAACCATCGAAGGCCGATTAGTGCCGATAAATACCCCCCGCCCCTTTCATTCCCTTCACTGCGCTTTTTGAATTTCAAGCCCTAGAATTTTCTGCATCTTAGATCTTTGGCGCACTGGTCATCTTTCCTACCTCCTTCGATGGCTTCTGGCTCTTTGGCTTCTCTGGTTCACAACGAAGCGCGAATGTCGCTACTCCGCAGGTGTGACTCGTCGGTTTTACATGACGACCTCAGGAGGTGGGTGAAGGATTATATCATCCTTAGCTCTTTAACTCTGTCAATCCGCTCATCTAAACACTCCATCTATAACTACGAGGGTAACGAGGTGCCGATGTATGGGCACCATCTTGATTATGGCTTCCACTTGCCTTGCATCCCTTTCTCGCAAAGACATTCTAAACCCTCAAAGTATCTTTGGTCCAATTGAAGCCTAACTCGGTGGCTTTCTTAACTGCTTTCCTTGTCGTCCATCATCGATTTGATGTCGAGCCGACCCTAAGGATCTTGGGTTATCTGTTGTGTGCTAAAGCCAGCAAGGACGAGAGGCATTTTTATTTTCAGTCTACCGTGGGGTTTCGGCTGGTCTTGAACATTCCAGAGACTAATAAAAAATAGAATGAGAAGTCCTTCATCTTTGCGTTGACCTGATCCTGGCCTACCCTTTATGGCTAGAGATCAAGAAAGAGGCCTTGAAGGCCAGGCCTCTCTCTGAGATGGAGAAGCAACAATTGGAGAGGATTTGAGCTTACAAGGGGTCTCGTTGGTGTGAGAATCTATGCTTCAGGCGACCGGCATATCTCACGTAGAGATTACGGAGGAATACCTTGTTTGTGCTGCTCTTTTAGCTATCAAAGCACGCTCAAAGGAGGTTCCTCACACCGGCCTCTCATTGGGACTAAAAGCATCTTTGTTCTGAGTTGGCGGAGGGTGTGCAGGGCCTGCTCAAGGATCTGATCGAGCTTGCTTCCCTGCTTGGCATGGGCTCAGGGACCTCTACTTCTTGAGCTGAGAGATCAGAGAAGAGGAAGAAGAATGTCACTAGGGGTCGACACAGCGTTGAGGGTGGTTCGTCAGCAACGATCTTCTTTGAGCTTGGGAACGAGGGTCCAGAGCTTATGCTGGAGCTAGCAGGTATGACTCTTGCTCCGTTAGGGGTCCTTCCTTCCGTGGATGTTGTTGATTTAAGCAGTTGCTGCTATTACTATTGAGCGGGAGGAGATGGCTGAGGAGATTCTTTCCGGTCTTTTGGAGTTGGCTAGGGTCGAGCCTTCTACTGAAGACAGAGTTGACGTCGCCACACTAGCTGAAGCAAGCGAGGCCCCTGAGCCTTTTGAGGACTTCTGAGAAAGAGCTGGTAGCGGAAGAGCTGTCAGCGGAGCAGGAGTCGATTGCCAAGGCCGTTGAGATTCTTCTAGGGGAGCAGTTTGAGTGAGCTTCTATTCACCGCTTAAGCGAGCTCCCTCCCCCTGACTAGGAGAAGATGAGGTCGACTCTTATTGGGTCGGCTAAGGTTGGGCCTGACATGAAAGGGACCTAGCGAATAACTCCATTTTCGTACTTAGTTGTCGGCTTGACTCCAGAAGATCGGTCCTGCAGTCCCTATCTAACCAGGCCTACACAATAGAGCAAATTTATCTTCCTAATGACCAAGTTTTATTGCGTGGGGTACCTTATCAAGGTCTTTATCAAACTATTCTCGAAGGTTTTCTTATGGATACCAAGCTTTTTGGTAGGATCGAGTTAGCCCATGAGCTCTTCATCAAGCTTTGGGAGCTTTGGGAGGACGTGGCTGCGCAGAGGGCTGCCTGTGAGTTGGCTAAGCTCTTGGCCGCTTAGAGGGCTGATCGATTACGCCAGCTCAAGAAAGATCGGGAGCTTGTGAACCATGAGCTGAAACAATACACTAAGTTAAAGTTTCCACTGAGGGCCTCCGACATCGAGGAGCGCTCATAGAAGCCACTCAGAAGGAGGTAGATATAATGGGGGTAATACAAGTCATGGTGAGGGAGTTGGATTAGGCCCGCCACTACTTAGAGGCTGCTGGTGCATGGATCAAGTATCTCGAGTCGGAAGTCTTTGCGGAGAAGTGGTAGAGGGAAGTATCCTAAGTATGGGCTCAAAAGGCTCAGATCAAGGTGGAAAATTTAAGAATGATGTTGAATGTGGAGATAACTACCTAGGATGCTCTCCATAACGATGCAGTCCGAGCCGCTCAGAGGGCCGCTCAAGAGGGCCGAGCAGCAGCATAACTCTCTCCTCCACCAAATCTGAGATATTAAGGATCAGCTAGCCTTCAAGGGTTAAAAGCCTTCGAGGATCAGGTAATCGAGAGGTACCATAATAGTCCTCTCGAGAAGATTGATGCTCTTACTTGCAACGTGGTCTTTGACGATTTGATGACCCAGCTTTCTGACGAGCTCAAAATCAACCGTAACTAGTTCAAGTACCCTTCTAGAGTGGCGGTTTGCTTGGGCATCCTTAGGGTGAGCGAGACGTCTAGTTGAGTTGAAGGGGTGAGGGCTAGTGAGAAACCTGATGGAGAGTTGGGGGAAAGTTCAGCTGAGGTGGATCCTGGAGAGGAGTGCGGGTCATCTCCACCATTTGACCGATTTGGGACCTTATCTCCTACCTTGTAAAAATTTCTCTTTTTTTTTCTTTTTTTTGTTGTACATATTTTGTTTTTTGTTACCAAGTTGGATAAAAGTCCGTTGGATTTTCACAAATGGAAAAAGGCTCATTTTGTACAACTTGACTATAGTTTGAATCTATTTATTGCTTTATTTTTGAGTTGGTTTGCTGGGGAGATTGTCTTCGAATGAGTCGGTTGTTAATTGGCTTGTAAGGCCAAAATTCTACTTTGGAAGAGTCAATGAATACCGACTCAGAAGGGTTCTTTGCTGAACCTTGGGTTTACTCATGAAGATCGATACCAAGGACTTTTCACCTTGCCTTGTGTGAGTAGGTGAAGATTGACTCTTAAGTGCTTACGTACCTTGGACGAGTCGATAAAGACCGAGTTGCAAGTATTGTTGGGTTGTGCTTTTGTTTTATACCTTAAAATTGATACTAAGGCCTTTGCGTACCTTAGACGACTCGGTGAAGACCGAGTCGCAAGGAGTTTTACGTCGTGCTTTTGTCTTACTCATGAAAACCGATATTGAGGTCTTTAAATATCTTGGACGACTCATTGAAGACCAAGTCATAAGGAGTTTTACGTCGTGCCTTGGATTTACTCATGAAAATCGATATTTATGTCTTTGAGTATCTTGGACAACTCGATGAAGACCTAATCGCAAGGAGTTTTATGTCGTGCCTTAGTTTTATTCATGAAAACCGATACCAAGATCTTTGAGTACCTTGGACGACTAGGTGAAGACCGAGTTGCAAGGAGTTTTGTTGCTGCCTTCGAAGGTGTTGGTGAAAACAATTCTTCATTGATATGAGGATTCTTTAATTACATTCGTTGGAAGTATTTCTTGAGGTGCTTTATATTGCAAAGATATTTCAAGACTTCTCCATTTTGATTTTGCAATTGGTAGGTTTCCAGGTGGACTTCTCTTACGATCTTGTAAGGTCCTTCCCAATTTGTTGTGAGTTTTCTATGGTTGACTTCTTTGTTGAAGGCAGCTTTTCCGAGGAACAGAACTCCTAGCTTGCATCTTCGAGGTCAGATGTGGCTATTGTACTGTCGAGCGATGCACTGCTGACTGATTATCAGAGATCAGAGTGCTTGCTCTCTTACTTCGTCGACGAGGTTGAGTCCACTACTGAGGCCCATCTGGTTGGCTTCCTTATCAAAGTGATGTAACCGCATAGTAAGCATACTAACTTCTACTGGGATGTCTATTTCTGCTCCGTATG